CCCTGTCATGCACAGAGCAGGGAGCGGGAGGATGCGATGCCACCCTCAGTCATGCTCAGGGTAGGGGCGACTGGGGGGTTGGGGCACCGCCCCCTGTCACACTCAAGACGAGGGCCCATCAGGGGGTTGGGGACCCCCCCCTGTCATGCACAGAGCAGGGCCGATCAGGGGGCTGAGGAGCTCCCCCATGTCACTCACAGAGTAGGGTAGATCAGGGGGTTGGGGCACCGCCTGCTGTCACAAAAGAGAAGGGCGGATCAGGGGGTTGGGGCACTGCCACTGTCACACACAGAGCCGCAGCGCTATCAGAGGGTTTGGGCGCTGCCCCCTGTCACACTGATCCCGGTGCCGGGAGGCATATTACCCTTTTACTATATAGGATAGAGGCCTGGTGCACGGGTGGGGGCTGGCTGGTTTGCCCTGAAGGGTGTCCTGGATCAGGGTGGGGGGCCTGCTTGGGTGCCTGGCCAACCTGGATGAGGGGATGATGGCTGTTTGCAGCTGGTCACTCCCCCTTCAGGGCGGGGGTCCCCACTGGAGTGCCTGGCCAGCCTGGGTGGGGGGCTGCGGGCTGTTTTCAGGCTGGCCGGTGACTGAAGCTCCCAACCGCTCCTTTTTTTTCTTTTTTATTCTGGGCCAGCTTTAGCTCTGAGGCTTGGCTCCAGCTCTGAGGCCTCGGCTACTGAAAGCAAGTATCTGGTTTGTTTGGGTTCTATAATCGAAACACTGTTTCAACTCCAGCTCTGAGATCCCGGCTGGCTGAAAGCAGGTTTCTGGTGATTGCTTAGATTCTATATTTGTAACATTTCAAACTGCAAGCTCAGAGGCCGGCAGCAGCAGGCTGGGAATGGAACGATCGCTTCCTCCATCACTGAAGCAAGCAAGCCTCATGTTCGCTTCAAGCTGCCTGGCTGCCGGCCGCCATCTTGGCTGGCAGTTAATTTGCATATTTCCCTGATTAGCCAATGGGAAGGGTAGCGGACGTACAGCTAATTACCATGTTTCTCTTTTGTTAGATAGGATTATAGGTATGTGCTGCTCCTCCAGGTTTATGTCTTTATCCCTTGGCTTGACCCCCACCTTGGCTGGACTCTGATCTCTCTCTTCCTCCTTTCTCCTTCCTCCCAGCATTCCACCTGCCCCTGCCTTCCCAACCATTGGTCCCAGCCAGGCTCTCCCTACAGAGATGACCAGGCCCCTAAGCCCTTGGGGAGTGCCCCTGTGCCTGGCATTCTCAGCTGTTCTCGGGCCTCAGCTCCCCTACGTGGTGGACGTTGTCCCATCTGACAGATGGAGACACTGAGGCACAGAGGACAGTGTTCGCTGCATGTTCACCTCTGGCATTCACCGCGCAGCCAGCTCGGGAGCAGGACTGGGGCACTCACGGCCTTCAGGGCAAGAGGGGCCGATGGGAAGCTTCTCTCCAGGCTGATGGGGGCTCCAGAGCAGCTGGGGTGGAGGACAGCCCCCTCCAGGGGAGGCAAGGGCTGAGCTGGGTGTGAAGGAGGGAGAAGGAGACCCTGACCTAGGGGACAGCGCATTTAAAGGCCCTCAGTGCACCCCCCCCCACCCTGCCAGCAGCATGCAAGCCCACAGCTCCGCCGTCCCACCCCTTCTGAGCCAGCTTATGTCTTCACCCCCTAGAGGAGCCTGGGGAGGGCAGGTCCCACCCGGGAATGAATGGCTTGCTGTAGTGGGCTGGAGCATCGCGCCAGGCAATGCAGGAGCTGTTTGTGGGTCTCCTGGGCCCCCCAGTTTCCAGGATCAGCCACACACAGCCCAGTCTCTGTTCCCACTCCCTGGGAGCCCCCACCCCACAGGCTGCTGAGCTCGGCCCCCATGCAGGAGGAAGGTCAGGATCCAGGTCCCACTGCTGGAGTTTATGGCAAGCTCTTCGTGTACCTCGCGCCTGTTTCCGTCTGTGTCCTGAAAACGTCCAGAGCCCCCTTGAGTGAGAGCACAGTTCCGGGTGACCTTCTGCCCAGAGAGGGAGCAGGCGAGGCTCCAGAGGGAGGTGGGCACGTGGTTCACCGAGCACTGGGCACCGGTGGGCTCTCACCTGTGGACGGAAACCTCAAGCGTTCCCTCCTTAGGAGCAGCCGCCCTGGCACCACGCCTCTCGCTGCCACTTGCTTAACCTTTTGTACGGACAGAAGCCCGGAGAGGTTAGGCGACTAGGCAGGGAGAGGGAGCTGGCGCCAGGCCAGGCCGAGTTCAGGTCCTCACGTAGCCAGTAGCCAGTAGCCACGTCGTTGCTGCCTGCGCTGCGCTTGGGGGGCAAGGGCAGCCTCCAGGGAAGAGACAGCTGCCAACGAGCCATAAAGGCCAGGCACAAGGTGGAGCTCAACAAAGCATCTGGGATAGGACATAGCCTCACCTGTGACCAGACCTGGGGCTTGAGGCAGGTACCAGGTCAGGGGAGGGGAGGGGTCCAGGGAGAATTCAGGTGGGGCGAGGCAGGGTGAAGTGTAGGGAGCAGGAAGCCCTAGAGAAGGGAGCTAGAGCCCTTAGAGCGGCTGCAGAGGGCGGCTTGGGGTAGGCTCAGGCATGCCCTCCCTTCTCCTTGAAGGTGCGGGGTTGGGTGTCTCAGCCCACGCAGCCAGGCCCCAGTGGCTGGAGGTCAGGCCAGGCAAGCAGGACGCCACAGAAACCCCCAGGGTGGTGGCTGCAGCCAGGGTGGGACCTCCCTGTCTCCTGTTCCCAGCCAGCAGCGCTGGGGGGGAACTCACAGAGCAGGAGGTGGATTGAAGGTGTGGGTGGGGCAGCCTGGGGCGGGGTCTGCAGTGCAGAGCAGGAGCCTCCTGAAGTCCAGGCCTCACCTCAGGGGTTTCCCGACTTTCTAGAGCACCTGATCCCTTCAGTTACTAGAGATGCAGCACGTACAGGGTGATGTGTTCGTTTGGAATCCGTGGGGGATGGGAGGGAACCCTGGGCTTAGTGACCTGGTTGTAAGTCACTGCAGCACAGCCGGTGGAGCGGCCTGTGGAGAGGGGAGCCTGCACAGAGGGGTGCGGGGTCTGCCCCCTGAGCTCTCCACTGGCGCCTGAGGGGACCGGGCAAGGCTGGAGGCAGCAGCCTGAAGTCCTGAGTGAGGACCCGCAGTGGTGGTGTGTGGGTGTGAGTCCTGCTGCTGGCAGCTGGGCCTCAGCAAGTGCCTCAGCCGGCGCTCTCACTGCGCGTCGCTGTGAGGATAATGCAGTCAGGCGGGTGCACACCGCGTCTGGCGCCCGGAGCACAGTAAGTGCAGCTGCCGAGAAGGGATGCTGGCAGAGGCACCGTCTCCTGGGAGGAATGTTCCGGGCCACGGCTCCCCAGCCTGCCCAGCTAGAGGGTTTGCCTGCAGTGGGATTACAGACCCAAGAGGGTGGCTGCTGAGATGGGGTGGTCAGGCTTGTGCCCAAGCAGCCCCTGAGGTGTGGGGAGTATCCCTTGCCACCCTACGTGCCCCTCACCAGACTCAGGACCCCCCGACTTTGCTGCACGGCACTGGGGGTTCCCAACACACAGGCCTCTGTGCCCTTGGCCCGCTGCCTGAGGTGCTGTCCCCACTCTCCACAGTCACTCCTGCTGGACCTTGGGTCTTGACTGAAATGTCCTCTCTTTGGAGGCCCTTCCTGACACCCAGCATCCTCTGTCCCTCCACTGGACGGGGCTGCGTGGGACCCACCCACCACCTTGCTGCACTCCCAGCTGCACCCCAGCGCCAAGCCCAGAGCTGCTCTCCCTCTCCACCCACCCACCCACCCACC